CTCCAGCCTGGGTGACGGAGTGACGGCACCACGCACTCCAGCCTGGGTGACGGAGTGAGATTCTGTCTCTCTCTCTCTCTCTCCACGCACTCCAGCCTGGGTGACAGAGTGAGATTCTCTCTCTCTCTCTCCACGCGCTCCAGCCTGGGTGACGGAGTGAGATTCTGTCTCTCTCTCTCTCTCTCTCCACACACTCCAGCCTGGGTAACAGAGTGAGATTCTGTCTCTCTCTCTCTCTCTCTCTTTTTTTGAGATGGAGTCTCGCTCTGTCGCCAGGCTGAAGTGCAGTGGCATAATCTCGGCTCACTGCAACCTCCACCTCCCGCATTCAAGCGATTCTCCTGCCTCGGCCTCCTGAGTAGCTGGGACTACAGGTGCCTGCCACCACATTCAGCTAACTTTTGTATTTTTAGTAGAGATGGGGTTTCACTCTATCTCTGGTTGGTCTCGATCTTCCGAGACCTCCTGATCCGCCTGCCTCGGCCTCCCTAAGTGGGGACCCTGTCTCTTAAGAAAGAGGCCAGTCGCAGAATAAAGACTGCACAATCCCACTCACGTGGGATCTATAACACAGGGAAACACACAGAAGCAGAGTGCCGGGCGCCGGGGCGGGTGGAGAGAGCTGCTCTCAGCAGGTGTGAAGTCTCAGTGATACACAACAGTGTACCTTGTGCCTCAGCGAACGATTCAAAAAGGAGCACAGCTGCTGAAGTCGGTGTGACTGGCTTCCTGAGAGCTGCCCACCCCCAGGGAGACGCAGAGCTTGGAGGAAAGACCGCTTTGGACCAAGCAGGTGGGGAGCTGGGCCTGGCTGGCGGGTCCCAGAGGCACGGGCAGGGTGGGCCTCAACCACAAGGACCTACCAGCTTCCACCGCTGCTCGGGGATGGCGCTGATGTCCACCGGGTGACGCTCGATCACGTTCAGGAAGCGCGCCTCGGGGACGGCGATGGCGCAGATCACGTGGATCCACCTGGCAGGGCAGGGGTAGGGTGGGGTCAGGGGCGCTTCTGAGGGCCTGGGCCGGCCACAGAGGGGCTCTGCGTGATGCGGCTCTCGGCTAGGTCAGCGCCTGGGGACCTTCAGGGAGGTCAGGCATGTGTTCCTCTTTGGCCCCAACCACCCCATCCATGACACTGGGTGGTTACACGAAGGTGACGGCTGACCCCTGACTGGGGTCACACCCCATGGAGCCCCAGCCCAGGGCGGGCTCCCGTCCAGTCCCAGCCCCAGGCCCGCGCCCAGCGCCACGTACCTCCTGTCAGTGGTCATCTGCAGCGCGCCTCCTCGCAGGTTGCACAGGCAGCACTCCTGCGGGGACCAGACAGCTGTGGGTGAGCGTGGCTTGGGCAGGCTCCCCGAAACGCTGCATGGGGACTGATCCGCCAACCGTCCCCAGCCCACGGTCCTTATATTTCAACCTAGCAGCCACCAAAGTGATGGTCGGAGTCCCTCGGGTCCCACCCCTCAGGGCAGACGTGAAGGAAGTGGAGGAACCCAGGCCCACGGAGGGGAGGTTACAGCCCAAAGTCACGGCCCAGAGCTGAAGTGGGCCCGGGGACCCGGCCTCTCAGAGCACCAACCGCGCCGCAGGGAGCGAGTTACCGCAGTCCAGGCATGGGCCGCGCACCGGGAACACGTCCAGCCTTCGTTGACCAGCTCGGGACGGATGCCATAGCAACCTGGAAGACAGCGGGGCCAGCTGAGATCTGGGGGGCGGGTGAGACTTGGGAGGAGGTGCGGGTAACTTGGGGGCCGGCGTCTGCACGTGGGGTGACGGGGCCTCCAGACACAGCTGCAGCATTCAGGGTATCTGCTGTTACCACCCTCTGAGGGTCATGCCAGGCCACAGCACGTGGGGTGAGAGAAAGGTCTGGAAGCTACTCGTGTGGAAGTAGGACAAGGGATGGGGAGCAGGGCCCCTGGGCTCCGGCTGGGTCTGCTATGCTCAGCCTGGTGGTGTCTTGAGGGCCCTTCTTTGTCGGGGGTCTGTACCCCCGACAGTGGCACCTCCTGCTGTGTCCAGAAAGGCCCAGGCCACAGAGGCAACTCGCTTTTGGACGTGGTCCTGGGTCTGGAAGTGGGGAGAGGGCATGGAGGGCCGAGTCATGCCCCTAGAGCGATGACAGGGGCTCCACCTGCCCCCAGGGCTCTGCCTCTGCTGGGAGCCACTGCCCTGCAGTGTGGAAAGGGCTCTCTGCCAGGGCTGATGGCCCAGACCTCACTGCCTACAGAACAGCAGAGTGGTGGGCACGGCTGGAGGGCATCTGTTGGGGTGACCCTGGCTGGGGTGGCCTGGCTGTGGCGGGCCTGGGGCCCTTAGCGACGCTTCCCCCAGGGAGCCCACCTGCCCGGGGCACATGCCAAACCCAGGCCTGGCAAAGCAGAGTGAACACCCTCCCAGCCAGGAGACACAGTGAGCCCCCAGGCCGACCGCTGCCAGAAGGAAACCGACAGAGATGGATGGCTGCCGCCTCGGCCAGGGTACAGAAAATTAAACTTCTCCAGAAAGCCCTCCCCCTGCCCTGGAAGTTGATTTCCTGCCACCCTCTAATGCCTGGGAAAGAGACATCCATTTCTTTGTCTGCTCCACAGTTGAGCCTTAGGACTGGGGAGGGCTCCCCGAGAACAGAGATAAACCAGACACCCTGACCACGCTGCAGTCTTACTGTGACTATCAGTTTCAACCCCGGCCCCAAATCACAGGCATAGCGGGCGCCCGAGCTCCTCCTGCTGCCTCCCAGGCCTGGGGAGGATGCGGCAGAACTGTCCAGATGGACAAAGAGGAGGGACCGTGCCCGGGCCAGAGTCAAGGGCAGGGATGTCTGCCTGCAAAGGCTGCTTGGCAGAGAGAGCGCCTGGCAGGGAACCTCGCCTGGGGGAGGCGGGGCGCAGGTCTCTGGTCCTCCTGGGGCGTGCCTGGCCCGCTTCTGGCTCTGGCCCTAGGGTAAGCTTCCCGGTGTCAGGGACAGGGCGGAATGAGCCCAGGGCCTCTCAGAACAGAGGCTTCCTCACCCCAGAGGCTGGCACCTGAGCCTGCACTGGCATCTTCTGGACCCTGGGGGAGCGGAGGCCTGTCCTGCCTGGGGGTGGCAGGGGTCACCCGGCCCTTCCACGGCCACAGCCTTTCCCCTTCTCTAGATGGCGGGACTGCAGCCCAGCAGCCCCACGACGGGAAAGACGAGAAAGTCAGAAACTGCAGGAAGTCACTGGGGGAGGCCCCTGCCCTGGCCCTGAAACAGCAGCCAGGGAGAGGGGCCGGCCTGGCTTCTGCGGGGGAGGATGGCACCCGCCAGCATCCCACTGGAGACGTGGCTCCTCGGGCCCCCGGCACTCACTAGCGTGAACCTGCAGGCAGCACTTGGCGCAGGCGATGAGGGGGCTGGTCCCATCGTCGCCGATGTAGGAGTTGGCCGGCAGCGGCTCTGTGTTCTCGCCGCCGGAGGTGAAGCACATTTCGGGGATCAGTGGCCTCGTCTTCTGGCCACTTCTGGAGGGAGGTGTGGCTGAGGAGCCCTCTCCGAGGGAGGCTGGGGGCACCTCTTTCTCAGTCTGTAGGGCCTGTAGGGGAGAGGGGGCCTTCAGGGGACGGAGCTGTGTGGGGGGTGGGGCGGGGAGGCAGTGCAGGCCTCTCTCAGGGCCCTGATGCCCTCTGGCTATAGGGCCCACCTTGAGAGGGGGGAGTCGGGAGATGCCTGACTGCTGAACTAGGAGAGATGCTGAAATACACTAGCTGGGCTGTGATGAGCATGTTGTGAACGATCCTGTCCACTCCATTTTGCCACCTTGAGCTACGCAGGGCGTTCTGTTCCGAGAGCTTGTGGTCTGAGACACCTGGCATCTCTGCAAGCAGTTTTCTGAGAAACAGCCCACTGGCCTATACGCCCTGCGCCTGCACCTGCGTAACTGCCTCCCCCACATCCTGAGTGAAAGCTTTAAATAGAATTTTGTTGTTAGCCCCCTTCCCCTAACCTGCTCCTTCTGATTCTGTACTAATCTGCTTACCGCCCTGACCCTAAACTGATACAAAAGTGTGGACTGGCTTTGTCCTGGGCTGAGACCTTTGAGCTCTAGCTGACTCGGACGCCGGCCATTAACAGCGGACGCTCAGAGCGCGGCGCTTCTGTTTAAACTCGCCTGGGTATAACAGTGCCAAGGGCCACCTCGGCCCTTCTTCTCACTCCTCCAGAAAGCCAGAATCCCCAAACACTGTCTGGCCCTGTCCCCACCCCATGAAGACCTTCCCATGAGGGTCGCATCAGACACAGAGCTCAGGCTGCCTGCGTGGCCCCGGCGCTGGGGTGCGCTGGAGGGCGCGTGATGAACGCTCTGCCTGGCGAGGGGAGTCAGGAAGACGCACGTCGGACGCGGCCGGCCCGGCCTGTGGCTGCCAGCAGCCTCTCCGGCCTCACAAAGGACAGCGAGCGCCTGGGGACGGTGAGATGTCAGGCCTTGTTTGTCTCAGGGACCAGGGCGCTAAATCCGGCTCCCAGGTATGGTGTGGGCGGCTCTCAGCGGCAGGGCTCCCAGGCAGGCTCGCCGCCCTCGGCATGGCAACCTCGCTGCCTCTGTCTACCCAGACCTGCCGGAGCACATGCCTGGGGGTGAGGTCCCCGCCCAGGGCCACTGTGCCAACGCAGGGCTCGCCTGCCTACCTGGCAGTAGGGGTAGAAGAGCATGCAGATGGCGCAGTAGGGCTCCGTGCGCGCAGCCGCTGCGTTGAACTTCCTCTCGGCCTGGAAGCTGGCTGCCCTGTTCTTCCACTGCAGGGACAGCAGGGGCCTCAAAGCCTCGGGGTCACTCACGTCCTCCTCCCCGGAGAAAGGGGATGCCTCTAGAAGAACAGAGGAGAGGAGAGACACTTGAAGCCCCTAAAAACCTGCCTGAGGAATCACCCCAACTGCCCAGGAGATGGGCTGGGGCTGCAGCCCAGCAGGGCCCCTGGTCCGTGGCTCCCCCTCCACCCGCCTCCTGGGTGCCCCATTCTCCACGATGCCCAGCAAGCTGGCACTGCAGTGTCCCATCCCACCAAGAGGGGACACATCTGTCTTGGCTGACTGCCACCCGAGGCCTCAGCCCCTAAACATGGTTCCTCTGAGCCCCTCCCCCAACATCTGTTTCTCCCTGGACATCTGGAGCTATCCACTCTGACACTCATGTGGGGCCTTCTGGGCCACGGACCCACCAAACTCAGTGTCCAGCCCTGCCCCTGCTGCCCTGCACCCGTCCTGGGGTCTGAGTCTGTGTGGGGGCTTCAGGAGTGACCCAGCGATACTCAGGGACACTGTCCTTCCTGTCTTGGGTGGGCACAGACTCCCTGAACTCAAGGGAGGTGCAGGAGGAGTGAGGCAGGGAGTCAGGAGGGGCAGTGACAGAAGCCAAGGCTCCCATCCCGGGAAGAGCTTCGTGACAGGGAACTCTGGTAAGGCAGGTCTGTTGCTGAGAAGCAGCAGCGGTCTCTCTCCCACCTGCCGCCCGTCCCCACCGGACTCTAATGGGCTCCACTGCCAGCTGCTGCACCCCAATCTCGCCATGTCTCCTCCCTGCATCTCCTGTGGACATGGCTGGGCTGTCCCCAGGAGAAGGGTACCCGTTTCTGTGGCCCAACCCCTAGCCCAACCTAAGGGGAGCCTGGGGTCCTGGGATCAGCCCAGCTGTGGTGCTGACCCTGGTTCATCCAGAGGACGGCAGGGCAGGCTCCCCGAGGTGGAGGCCCAGGACCCCCACGGTAGACTCAGGAACCTTAGGCCAAGACTCCTCTGAAAACCCAGACCCGACAGTCCCACCAGCTGCGCCCAGGGAAGGCCCTAAGTGGCTCGAGGCCCAGGGGATGAGAACGGAGCCACCAGCTATATTCGTCACTCACGGCCCCAGGATGCCTGGAGTTCTGGGGCTGTGATGGTCTCACCAAAGGGCCACAGTGGGGTGTGGGGAGTGGGGGAGTCCACAGAGGCCCTGGAGGTGCTTTCTGGAAGGATCCCCAGCTAGAAGGCAAGGCCCCTTCCCAAGGCAGCCCACGGGCCCCTGGTCACTGCTCTGTCCCCTGCTGATTCCTCTCGCCCTGCGATCCCAGCGCCCCTAGAACCCTCCTCGCCCACCCCTGCAATTACGCACAGGATGAAAGACGGCATGCAGGCCATTTTCATATTCTATGCACATCCCCAACCAAAGGCTGAAGCAGGAGATGAAAAATGGGCTTAGCAGGATTCCTGCGCACAAGACAGCGGCTCCCGGCTGAGGGTTCCACGGAAGATTCTGTCTCCTCCCGCCCACTCAAAGCCTCACCACAGCCTTTTGTTCTAACCTCTCCAAGGCCCAGATGGCCCCTGCTCAGGCCTGGGAGGACTCTTCCGTGGGGCGGCACAAGCCCTAAGCCCCCCATCGTGGGCAGCCCAGGCAGCAGGGACATCTCCAACAGCAGCTGCCTCTCTGCACGACCACCTGCGCAGGTGACGGCCTGTCCCAGGGAACTGCTTACTCAGGGTGACCACATGTCCTGGAGTGACCACCTGTCCTGGGGTGTCCGCCTGTCCTGGGGTGACTGCCTGTCCTGGGGTGTCTGCCTGTCCTGGGGTGTCCGCCTGTCCTGGGGTGTCCGCCTGTCCTGGGGTGACCGCCTGTCCTGGAGTGTTCGCCTGTCCTGGAGTGACTGCCTGCCCTAGGTGACCACCTGTCCCAGGGTGACCACCTGTCAGGGTGGCCAGGGTGAGTGAGGGGCTTTCCTCTGGTCATGCACCTGGAATACAGCGGACCTCCCCCTACCCCCGAGGCAGCCGCAGTGCTTTTGAGGACAGACCTCTTCGCTGGCCATGTCTAGCAATGGATGTGGCTGTGAGGATGTCTGCACTGGAAACAAGTCAGACGCTGGGAGGGGCTGCATGTTGACCCCGCCCAAGCTCTCAGGCCTCACCTGGTTATCCCAAACTCTGACTCCATTTCCGTCACCTCCACCTGGGAGGGGTGGCCAGCACTTCTGCCCCCACCCAACCCACAGCCCCCCTGTGAGCTGGCGGGGCACCTGGCCCAGGCCTGGGGGAGGGGGTGCTGGCAGGAGCCGGGTCTGCAGGTAGCACTCAGCCCAGGCCTGGGGATTCCAAGCCTCAGCTCTGTGAACCTTCCTGACTGGACTCACTGAGGACCGGCCCCCATTTTACAGGTAAGGTGGCGCAGCCACAGAAGGGCCTGGGGTCACCGGGGAAGACCTGGGGGAAAGGCGGGAGGAGGTCGAAGGGGAGTGGGACCCCCACTCACCCTCGTCACTTGAGGCCTCCTGCTTGACCACCGACAGCGGGGACCGGGTGGGCGGCCGGCCCAAGGGATGGCGCCGGCTCTTCTTGATCTCCATCTTCAGTTTGGAAAATGTGGATGGTGCCTGAAACACAGAACAAGCTGCGGTAAGGGCCAGGCTACAGACCCCCGGGGGGCTCCCTCCGAGCCAGACACAGGCTCAGTGAGCCCAAGGCCTGAGTCTCCTCCTCTGGGGTGACGGTCCCAGGAAAGGGCCACGAGCCACCTCTGTTCTCTAACTACAGACAACCCACCTGCGCTGCAAGAAGAGCCACAGTTCCCTGTGAGACCAGCAGGCAGCCTCCTGACCCCCTCCGCCCCCCTGCCCCCCTCCTCTCCACCTCCCTCCATCCTCCCCGCCTGCCCCCCTCCTCCCCGACTGCCCCCTCCGCCCCACCTGCCCCTCTCCGGCCCGAGCCTTGCTCTCTGCGCGGCTGGCCCCACTGCTGGCTCCACCGTCCTCGGGCCCTGTCAGCTCCATGGGGGAGGCCGGCTCCTTCCAGTTCGGGCCCTTCTGGGCAAAGTGCTCGAAGGCCTGCTGGCAGGACACGTGCTCCTGGTTGAAGGCCGCCTTGCCGGCCCGAGGCACCACATACAGCATAGGGATGATGGGCCGAGGCTTGGCCTCTAGCTCCTCACTGGGCACCTCGGGGTGCACGACGTTGAGGGGCGCTGGCAGGGGACTCTCCTCCATGGCCGCGGGGCCCAGGCCCAGCACCGGCGGCTCCAGCGGGGACGGGAGCCACAGTGCCTCCTCCGAGGGGAAGTGGGTGGGCGGCGGCAGCTGTGGGGGCAGTGGGCCGAAGCTCTTCTTCTTCCGCTCGCTCTTGGCCTTGGTTGGCCGAAGCTTGCCCCTCCCATCCTCTGTGGGGAGAGGAGAGGGCAGTCAGGGAGGAGAACCCCAGCTCAGCTGCTGGTCCCTCGCTCCCCAGAAATCCCCAACCTTGGCTGGGATGGTTGAGGGTCGCTTCCAGCCCCGAGAGGCCACGTGAACACGGGTGGGCAAAGGGCACGGGCTTTAGACCACCTCAGATCACCTCAGGGGCACCTGGCCAGGCACCCCCAGGGCCCAGGTCTCCCAGGAATGCCAGCCCGGCAGTGGCTCTCGCCTGCCAAGGCCTGCGAGGACCCGCCAAGTATTGCTCTAGGCACCTTCCGGGGTTACGGCAAGTGGGAGACGGGTCCCCAAACCCAGCTCGGGGAGGCTGCTCTGTCCTCCCAGCTTCCACCTGGGTGGGCGACACCAAAGGGCATTTCCCGGTGGGGGTGGGGGTGCGGGTGAGGGAGAAGCACTTTTTCTGTTCCCACATAACGAATTGTGTACATTTCTACTGTGGATGTGAAAACGCTATTTAAGGTTTTGCTTCTGACAAAGATAAAACTGAACGATGCACAAAACCTTGATCAACGAACCCTGACCAGTGGCCATGTGAGCAGATGGGCCTTCTGTGTGGAAATCCCCAGGGCTGCGCTGGGGAGATGTCTTGACAGGTGGCGGGGAGGGGTCAGGTAACACGTCTTTGTGGCATTTTACTTTGGGGCCAGGAAGGGTGTGCAGTAAATCAAAACTGGGATGGGCAGTCTGGCTGGCTAAATCACAGCCCCCAGCTCTCCCAGATGTGTGGATGTGGACACGACGTGGCAGAGGGGACTCTGACTCTATGGGTGGGACTGAGTGAAGGACCCTGAGATGGGAGGGGATCCTCAATGATCACGGAGGCCCAGTGTCCTCACAGGGTCCTCATGAGAGAAGCAGGAGGGTGAGAGGCCGAGAGGCTGGAAGAGGCTGTGCTGTGGCTGTGAAGGGGGAGGAAGGGGCCCTGAGCCAAGGGATGTAGGCACCTCTAGACGCTGGGAAAGGGTTTTGCCCTGGAGCCCCGGGAGGGCCTGGCCCTGCACACAGCTCCATGTGAGCTCCACGAGAGCCCAGCGGGGCTGTGTCAGGCTGTGAGAAGCTCGTGCAGGGTGGATCCCTCTGAGGGCTGCTACTCGGGGTGAGGTGTGGCATGGCACCTCGGAGCCCTGTCCCAAAGGAAGAGCAGCCTGGCCGCCCAGCTCACTGTGGACCCCGGAACACCATGAGCCCTGGAGCCCTGGCACCCTGCCTGCTCCCTCTGGAGAATGGGGACGGGGGCTCAGGCTGCCATCTGTGTGTCTCCACGCCCCAGGGCTCCCGGGATATCCTGTAAGAAGGGACAGGGGCTGATATCCAAGGGATTCTTGGGCTATGGGGCTTTCCGTGCTAAAACTGGAAGGTCCCAGGCAGACGAGGATGAACCAGTCACTGCGCTAACACTTCACCACCTCCACCTCCCCCAGCAGGCTGGAAAAGGAAGGAAAAGTCAAGGGAAGGAAATTCATCCCTGCACACTCAACTGGTGACCAGGTGGCCCGTCCTGGGGTCTGGTTTGGAGCACAGCGCCCCATCTCACCACTTGCTAAAAACCCACCACGAGCTGTCCCTGGTTCCACAGTCCGTGATGCCAGGAACAGTGGTAAGCGTTGAGGACCTCAGGGACAGGGCTCCCAAGGGCCAGGGGTGACCACTTAACCCTTGACCCGCGCTGACCCCAGGAAGGGTCAAGTGAGGACCCTCCCGCAGCAGACCCTGCAGGCGGGAGGAAGCCACACCACCCCACCCTCTCCCACAAGGGGCCCCAGCCCGCAGCCTCCCCCAGGAGTGCAGGCAGCCCTGTCCTCCCTGCTCCAGCTCTCCTCCCCACACCCACCCCAGCTCCATCTGCGGGTTTCGGGGACCGCCCACGGTGTCCTTGGCAGGCACACGCCCACCTGTTTCTCAAGAGAGACAAGTGAGCGGCTATAGGCGAAGGCAGCCCCGCCCCCGCCCTGGCCCCCACCCTTACTAGTCCTGAGCATTCTGGGGCGCTGGAGGCACTGGTCTGGTTCCTCCCCCACCGCCACCCCTGGCAGGGGAGGCTGGAACGCTCCCAGGTCCTGTCTGGCCTTGCAGGGAGCGCTGTCGTCCCTGCCGCTGTTATCTGGCCAGGGGAGGTAAACAGTGGACACAGCAGACAGGCTGCCGTGGGAAGAAACTTTCTCCCCTGCAGATGCGGGGGGGAGGCCGGGAGCAGAGGGTGGAGATGCGGGGGGGTGGGGCTGCCTCACCAGGACGCCCAGCCCCCGGGAAGCTGGAGCAGCCCAGGCAGGCTGCAGAGGCTGCACGCCCCACCGCGGGTGCCTGTCGGGAAAGCCGCTGTCCTGTGTGTGTAAAAGGCACTTGAGGACAGCTTTGTTCCCCTAAGGAAATCCAGTGTTTCTTCATCCGTGACAGCGCCCCCCGGCCCCACTCAGGACGGCAGATCTGACCTGCCTTCCACACCGCAGGCCCATGGAGGACTGGGACTCGGCCCCACACCGCTGGGCCGGCTTCCCAGGCCACGGCCGCCCCAGTTGGTTCATCTTCAGGGGCTGGCATGGGGTCTGGCCCAGGAGGCCCCCAGCTGGGGCACCGATGGTCTCGGGAGAGAGAGGAAGATTCCAGGACACAGCTCACGGCCTCCAGCTGCGGGGCTGCTAAGCGCACACACCAGGAAGTGGGGAAGGTGCCAGGAGGAAACGGCCGTCAGAGCCCGCCCGGCCCCCACCTGCCCCTCACACACAACAGGCCACTCCACGCACAGGGGCTGTGGGGCCAGGGACGCAGAGCGGCTGTCAGCACACGGCACCACAGAAGGTGTCTGCTCCGAGGGTCCTTGGGGAGTCCCTGCCTCTCTAAGGAGCTGGCATCCTCCCCCCACCACGGGGCCTCCTGGGAGCTGAGCGGCAGCTGGTGCAACTGCCCCAGGCCCTGGTTCTGCTGGCGAGGCGCGGACGGCTGGGAGCCGAGGCCCCCGGGGGTTGTCCTCCCACCAAGGGCCACACTGCAGGACTCCCTCCTCCTCCAAGGACGGGGTTGATCCCAAGTCCCGATTCCCCACAGCCCTCCCGGCTCGGGTGCCTGGTTCTGTCTCCCGGAGGGACCAGGCATGGGAGACGAAGCGGGAGGTAATTTGAGCCTGGGGTGCCCGGCTGACCGCCCATCCCTGCCGGCAGTGAGCAGCGAATGACAACGCCGACAGCCTCAACCCGCTCCACACACACAGCCCGGGCCTGCCGGTGCCCTGGATTTTCAAACTTGCAAGAAAAGTTTCCAAGCCTCTCTCCGTCGGCTCCCAGGCTCTGTGAGGCCAGGGCAGATGCACAGGGACCTTTTAGAGGGAAACAGCCAAGGCCAGGACAGACAGGCGGAAAGATGGCCACACTCCACAGCAGCACCTCGGGGTTCTGTCCTTGCATTCCACAGACACCTTGGCCCACCCCTCACCTCCCTGGCCTGAGGAAGTGGAGACGGGTGAGGGGCTTCAGAACAGAGCAGGGACTATTGAACAGACAGGCCGGCGGTGCGCCCAGGCCCCCAAGGGCAGCTGGCTGACACCCTGCTCACACTGTTTTTGGGGGACAGGTAAGCTGTCAACGCAACCCCCACCATCAGGGCTCACCAGCCTGCCTGGTTGCTGGACCACCCCTCCCCAGCACCAGGGTTTCCAACAGAGCCTCCAGCAAACCCCAAGACAGGTCCAGAGGCCCAGGCTTCCCTGCGGAGGGCAAGAAACCACCCATTTCTGAGGACACGGCTCTGTTCCTGCTCCAAGGCTGCGGCCTGGTTTAGGGACCCCTCCCCCACGTTTCACGCTTGGCCGCCATGCCTGGGCCAACCCAGTCCCAGTCTCAGGGGCTCTCTGGCCACCCCCTCCAACACCACTGTCCTCCCATGCTCAGCCTGCAGCTGGATGTGCCTGACAGCGCCGGAGGCCCGGCTGGAATGTGCTGGGGGTCCCCCGGCTGAGCTCGCAGCCCTTCACTAGGCACTGGGGTTGCCCTCGAGACATGGCAGCCTATACCGTCCATGTCCTAAAGCCAGCTGCCAGCCATGAGGGCTTTCCTAAGAGTGGCGCTACAGGGTGAGGGCAGGGCAGGGCGGGCACTGTCTGCTCTCACCACTGCCTCTCCCCACTCTGGGGGGCAGGACAGCCCTGTGCCAGCCCTCCTGGTCGCCATCGTGGCTCTGCACCAGACCCTGCGTGTCCTGCACTGCAGGCCTTCTCCCAGGAGGCGGGGCCTCCCCTCGGGCTCAGGAGAGGTGGACCAGGCTGCCTTCCTGCCTCTGGTGGCCCCTGGGGTCAGGGCTGACTGGTGGGGCTGCTGGTCCCTCTTCGGGCTGGACAACAGGGTGGCCGCTCTTCCCAGATCTCAAAGCAGCCAGTGAGAACGGGGTAGGGGCACAGATGGCCACTGGGAAGCAGCCTCCCAGCTGCCATCCGGGCCCCTCCCTTCCGAGGGGCTTGCTCCGAGACCACTGATGCCTCCCTCCTGGCACCAAGAGCTGCCGGCCCTCCTGGCTGGTTCCATATAAAAACACAAACCCCACACCCCACTGCTAGGCATCACAGCTTTTAGGGGCATGAAACTGGCATTCAAGGAAGACCAGAAACCACTTGAGGAAATCCTTCCCACAGCCCCGCCCGACTGTGAGGAGGCCTTCACGTGAGGCCCTCCCGAGCTGCGCCTCCCGGCCAAAGGCTCTCAGGACTTCGGGCTCCCGGGAAAAGGGCTGTGTCCAAGAAACTCCCACCCCTGCCAGATCCGGGCCTTCTCAGGAAGGAGCCTCTATCGTGGAACAGAGATGGGGTGTCCAGGTCAGCGGGGCAGCGCCAGCCCTGAGCCCTCCCTGGGCAGAGGCCCTGACGTGGCACCACGGTGGCCTCTAACACTCCATGCCGGTCCCCGGCCTTTCTGTGGGGGTTCATGCCTTTCAGAGCCCGTGGAAGCCACAGGCCGCAGAGATGCCCCAGGCCCAGCCTCCT